CGCGGCACCCCCGGTCCGGCACCGGGCGAGGGACACCCCGGGGCAGTGCTGTGGGGGTACCCCGGGGGCACCGGGCGAGAGACACCCTGGTGGCACAGGGTGAGGGACATCCCTGTGCGAGGGACACCCCGGGGCACCGCAGGAGGGGTACCCCGGTGGCACTGGGTGGGGGGACATCCTCGTGGCACCGGGTGAGGGACATCCCTGTGCGAGGGACACCTCCGGGCACTGCACTAGGAGCATCCCGGTGGCACTACACTAGGGACACACTGGTAGCACTGGGTGAGGGACATCGCTGTGCGAGGGATGCCCTGGGATGTTGCAGTAGGGGTAAACCGGTGGCACCGGGTGAGGGACATCCCTGTGTGAGGGACACCCCAGGGCACTGCACTAGGGATATCCCGGTGGCACTATGCTAGGGACACACTGGTGGCACTGGGTGAGGGACATCCCAGTGGCACTGTGCTAGGTGTACCCCGGCACGCTGGAACAGGGACATCCCGGTGGCACTGGGTGAGGGACACCCCAGGCCAATGAACTAGGGGTACCCCGGGTCACTGTGCTGTGGAGGCCCAAGGGCTCTGCACTAGGCATACTCTGGTGGCACTTGGTGAGGGACACCCCAGCGGCACACCTCTAGGGGTATGCTGGGGGCACTGGACTAGAGACAGCCCAGAGGCGCTGTGCTGGGGACACCCTGGAGGCTCTGTGTGAAGGACACCCCAGTGGCACCGTGCTAGGGACACCCCAGGGGTATTGCACTAGGGACACCCCAGTGCCCCTGCCGCAGTGCTCCAGTGGCACTAGTGCCCTAGCACAGGGGCACTTCTGGTGGCACTTCTCCAGCGGTGCTGGGGGGGAGGGGGACCCCTTGTGTCCCTCACTGCTGTGGGTAACACGCCGTGTCTGGCCCTGCGCTTGGGGAGCTCGTGGGCTGGCAGTGTGCTGTTGCTGTGCCCCAGAGACACCACCAGCCATCCACACCCAGGGCATGGGACCTGCCTCTGCCCTGGTCAGAACTGTCTGTCACTACTAGAGGGTCCGTGCTCACTGGCACTGGCCTGGGGGCACCTCGGGGCCTGGCACGGCACTTGGGGAGACCCATGGGCTGCCACTGAAGTCCTGGGGACACTCAGGCTGTGATTGCACTCAGGGATGCCCACGGGCTGTGACTGCAGCTGGAGACACCCATAAGCTGTGATTGTGATTGGGGACGTCACAGGCTGGCGCTGCACAGACACCCACAGGCTGTGATTGCGCTCAGGGACACCCACGGGCTGTGACTGCAGCTGAGAACACCCACGGGCTGTGATTGCTCTTGGGGACACCATGGGCTGGCACTGCCCACGTGAGGAAGATCCCCATGGAGAGAAGTAAGCCCAGCCCCTGACCTTCTCATCCAGCTCCTGCACCACAGCGGGGCAGGAGGGCCCCAGCTCTGTGCGGGCTCCCTGGCACCCACTTCCCTGCTGAATTGCACCCCAGTGCCATCCTCTCTGGCACCCACGGGGACCTCAAGCACGTGCACGGCACATAGGGTGGCATTTCAGGGTGGCATGGGGCGCACAGGCAGCCCGCCGCCCTCTCCATCTTTCTGCTCTAAATAAACTGTATTCCACAGGCAAAAAAATGTAAGCCCTTCAGATCCTGGCTCCTCCAAAAATAACCCGTGCTTTAATAACGCTCGTAAATGCTTCTGGCACATTCCCAGCTGCAGGGTGGGCTCTGGGCTGGGGGGGCTGGAAGGAGCCGGCAGTGCCGTGCGGCACGTGGGGAGGCTGGGATGGGACGGGGACAGGGGCAGTGTGCGGGGTCCCCCAGCCCGTTACCTTGGGGCCACATCCAGCTCTTGCCTGCCACAACTTTTTGGCAGTGGTGCTCCAAGCAGAGAGAAGCAAAAAGTTTTTGAGAGCTGGAGAAAGTGGCTTTCTAGGCGCCCTCTGCCCTGGGTTGTAGGAGGGACAGGAGCAGCCGAGAACCGAGGGGCTGCTGGCGCCATGGGGCAAGCAACAGCAGAGCCGCTGCGGGACTCTGGAGAGGAGCTATTAATACTGATGAATTAGGCACATATTTGGACAAGGAGAGTGAGTAACCGCCAGCACACGGCTTCCAAGGGGAGGGGGAAGATCCGTCTCCCATCATTCCCGGGCAAGGATGGATGGTTTTCCACGAGATGCTTCAGCCTGGAGCAACTTCATGGGCTCAGTGCTTGGAATAAAGACGATGACGTGCGCAGTGTGAGCGGCCAGGCAGGACAAGGCAGGGCCAGAGGAACTGTGGCCCTCAAATACTGCTCCGAAGGATAAGGTTCCCCCTCACTGCCTGCTCCCCTTTGCTCCAGGCACCATGGCCACGTCCAACTGGCACAGCTGGGGCTGTTCAGGTGCCCAGGCCCACGAGTCTGCCCTCGAATCTGTCCTCTAGGGTGACCGCTGGGACAAGGGGGTACAGAAAGGTGTGGGTGTACATTCCTCCCATTGCTGCCCCATGCCTGGCCTCACCCCAGGATAAGGTCTCCAAGGATGGTGACCCCCCTCTGTACCCTGCTCCAGGGTCTGACTGCTCCACTGGTAAAAAGCTTGTCCTGCCATCTAAAGTAGCTTCCTGGCTGCAATCCACGCTGCATTCTCTCCCCAGTCCCTGGGCTCCCTGAGAAGTCAGGCTGCAGCTTCGCTGCTCACCTCCAACCTGGCCAGATTCAGGTTCCTGCAGAGGTGCTGGCGCCTCACAGCTGTGTTGTCCCAGCTCCGAGCCCCTCTGTGTGCTCGCCCAAACCTGCCTGCCAGAATAACCCCTTGCTCCGGCGGGTGAGATTTAGGAGACTGGGGCGAATCGCACCCCATGTCCCTCCCCCGGTGTTAGTGCCACCACCCCTTGCCTGTACCCCAGCCCGGGGGCACAGCAGTGGGTGCGCTCGCAGCCCCGTGCCCGGGGTGCCGGAGAGCCCTCGGCCCTGGGATGCCGGGATGAGGCCGGGGCCGCTGCCACACCGTGCCTGCTCACTGCCCTTGCTGGCCGCTCAAGTTGGGGCCCCATGCCCGTCCGGTACCTGG